ACACCACCTAACGAAGTTGCTCATCTCGTTGAGCAAATTAACGTGCTCTTCTCGTAATTGTCTCATCATTACATCACCAGCATTTCGACGGGATGAGGTTCGACCCGCCGTGGTGGTTCTTCTCCTTCGTCGCGCAGCTTATGGAGCAGGAACAGCATCAGGATCGTCTGCTGATGGAAGAGGAGGGAAGTAGGAAGGAAGGAAGGAAGGGAAGGGTGAGAGAATTACAATTGTTTTTTTTTAAAACAACTGGAAAATAATTTGTGTAAAATAATCCATAAATGTTAAAAACAAACAATTTCACTCTTTACTTATCGCTCAAAAGACGAAAATATACTTTAGAAGTTTCCAAAACATTTCTTTTTTCTTTTTCTATTTTAAACACTTTTTTATTAATTTGAGCGAAAGTAAAGAGAGAACAGTTTTGAAATTTCTCATGGGGATAAAATCGAACTTTTTTAGAATAAACCATTACGTGTCATATCGGCAACATCTATTATTCTAACAATCGAATTTTCTGGAATATTTTAGAATAAAACATTAGTCATATCGACATCTATTAATTTTATTTAACAAAAAAAAAAAAAAATGGATTCTTTGGAACGCTCCTGCCAAATGTCTGGTTTCAAAAGAATTTGACATTACTACAGTATTTTAAAAACTCGACAATGAATTATGGCGTGGCGTAGCAATTTCTTGAATACCAACCAATTTTCAGTTTTTTTTTTTTGATTCAGGTTCGATTGTTTAGTGCAATAACGATTCGAAATTTCTTTTACTCTAAATTTTGGTTTTTTTTTTAATATTTTATATTTTTTTTTTGATTTTTTGGAAGATAAAGGTAAATCAATTTTTTTTTTAATCAACCTTTTTTTGGGTTCGAATGATTAATTAAAATATTCAAGAGTTTTCTCATTGTTTCGATTTTTTTTTTTAAGGTCTCCTCTTTCGGGTTCGATTATTCCCATCGTGTCCATCGATTGATTTATAGTAGATTTTCTCATTAATGGTATTATTTTCTACTAATGCTTCAGCCCGCGATATTTCTTTTTTCTCTTTTTTTTCGGATTAGTTTATTATCTTCAGGCACGCTGCGATCGAACATTTTCTTTTCATCTATCCGCCCTTTAGCTTGATTGAATTATTTTCTTTAGGTACTTCTTTCGGTTTAATTTGAATCTGGAAGTAGATAAGGCAATTTGCTTAATTATCATTTTATTTTATGCTTCGAGATGAAGCGATCGAATAATACTTGACACCAGGATCAGGACTCCCTGACGCACTTATAGTGCCACTAAAAATTGATACGATTTTTTAATTCGATTTTTGTTAATTTCGATTTTGGTAGAAATAATTCCAATCCTTATTTAAAGATATCGCATGAGTTAATTAAGTCAACAAAACGAGAAACAAGAAAAGAGTATGAATTATTATAAAGTTGACAATTTCTTTCGGCCTTGCACTTGTAAGATTAGCCCATGCTAATAAAGAATTCTTTTAAAATTTATCAATCAATTATCGCATTGCAATTATTTTAACATCAATTTTTACGTTTATCGGTCTCACCAACCTGGGATATCGCTAATGCTTCTTTCGTCATGATGATAGAACAGCGGATCAATACGTGTTAAAAGATTGGAATTAATATAATATATAAGGTGAACCTTTACAAATATAATTTAAACTGCGCTTTATTTCAGGTAAAGTGACTATGTAATTGTTAGCTGAAATGGTTTATACTATGGTTTTTCATTTGAACTTTTGTCTTATTAATTTAGAATCATTTGTAAAGATTTACGATTCATGTTGTGTGTCACGTGCCTAAATAAATAAAAAATTTAAAAACAAATACGAAATTTTTTTGAATTTTCTTCGTTAATTTTAATATTGATAAGCCAAAGTTTAATACACTGCCAATTTTCTTTATGACATTATTCTCGTTAAAAATCAACTGATAAATTTATTAAGTTAGTGAAATTTATAAAGTTTAAGTGGCAATAAATATAAATTACTTTTTTTAAATACAAGTTTCTGCTTTTTTTTTCCTTTTCTGGTCTTTAACTATCTATATACGACACAAATATTTTGAGCTACGTTATTATATCATGTGTTAAAAAATTTGAGAAAAAAAGGTTTTGAGCCTATATAACGGCTCTTCGCCTTGCATATTTTAATTTTAATAAAGTTCGTTTTAAAATGTCCTAATTGTTAAACTTATTTTTTTTTTTTTAGATGAACCCATCAAACAATCAAGTATAACTTCAAATAATTAATATATATTTATCCTCGATGCATACTTCCAAAGCACTCGTTATTTCCAAGGAGATTTATTTGGATATTGGTATGTATAGAGTTATTTGTTAAACTTCCAAATATTTTGAATATTTGAAACATCATGTTTTTCTATTATGTCCTTCGATTATCAAATTGACTTGACGGGAAATGTGATAATGTACATTATTTCTTTGATCATTAATAATAGATTATAGTTAGTCATTATGATTCCAATCTCTACCATGAGGGTCTTTTCATAATATATTTCTTTCTTATTATAGCATTTTGCGTGACATACTATAGGATCTTATTGATAATATTGTAACTTTAAATTATTTAAATTATTTTAAAAATTATAAAAATTTTCATGTTTCATCATCATCGCCATCATCGTCATCATAACGATAAGTGTGCAAAGAATTAACTTGAACATTACGTAATAAAAATTCATGCGTCTATAGCAACAATAACAATGAAAATTTCAAGGAAACTATAAGATATTTCCAAATGTTATACAGTATATAGTTTATTAAAAAAAGATAAGATAACTGCTCCAGCCACAAATTAGATGGTCTTACCTTACGATATACTGACGTTCATTTTTTACCTCCAAATACAACTTCAAGAATTCAAACGATGGATGCTGGAATTATTATGTCTTTCAAAAGGCACTATCGTCATTTTCATGTACGGTAAGTTATATTTATTAAAATTTTCATGTATTATAATAAATATAACTGATTAATTTTGCATAATAGTTTGATGCTGCAAATATGTAGAGGTAGGTAACCATGCAGAAGATTTACGCATGGATGTCTTGCAGGCAATTCGTTTGTTATCCAAACCTGGAGTGAGATTGGTGCCAAAATAATTCATAACTCTAGTGGCATACAAAAATTCTTCCCGATATAAATGTAGATTTGGAATGTAATTCAGAAGATATCCGCCAAAAATGAAAACTTAATGCTAAATGATATTACAAACGCACTTCAAGCCCTTAACCTTTCCCATCCAATGCAAGCGGAAGAGTTCCTTAACATACCTGTAGAGGATATTGTCTATGAAGCTCCCAAAGATGATAAAATTATTGAACGTGTATCTCTTTAAGGATACTGACAAGGAGGATATGGATATAGAAGAAATAGATGATAGTGATGAAATCCCTATTATTAGTTCTAATCTTCAACTGCTAGCTTAAAAACTGTACGCACATTTTTACTTCAACAGGACTATACGGAGGAATATTTAAAGTTGGTGGGAAAGATTGAAAAGTTTTTTAGGGCCAAAAAAACAAGTTTAATGCGGCAAACGGATTTTAACACATTTTTTCATAAGTAAGCCTGTTTTGGAATAAATGCTGCAAAAATTCCTGAATAAATGCCGCAAAAATTCTGAATTAATGCATTTATAAATAATAAAAAATCTAGTATAACAACAGTTTAATTTTTTTATTGGTTATTCTTTAAGTGCACACGCTCTCTAAGTGCACATGCATGGCCGGGCCCCAGAGGCGTGCACTTATGGAGGCGTGAATGTATTTATTTATCTTTAATATTATATAAAGAAACTAACATTCATATTTTAGAATCGCAAAATGATTCTGCACAAAAGAATTCGGATTCAACAAATGAGAGTCTATTAATGCCAACTGATCCCTCATTCCCAACGTTTTTAAAGAAAATACATTTAACAATTGTTCTTTTATTTAGTATAAAATATAATAACGATAAAAGTAAATATGAATCTAATTATGTATAATAATTAATAATAAATTAACATTATTAATTTTTTTTTAATGTATTAATAGATTGTAATATCATGGTCGAAGTTTAAATAAACTCCTACCGTGTCAAATTACTACAAGGACAAAATATAATAATCATATACAGCCATGTAATTATTTTTTTAAGCATATAATGTAAAATTATCAATGCAAATAAACTTTACTAATTAAAAAATATGCAAATAAAAACAAAATTTGAACTTTATTACTTTTAATGTAAGTAACGAACTATTTCATGTTAATGGCATTGTTTTTTCTTTGACTTATTCAATAACAGCATTAATATATCCTTTCACATTTTAATATTATACCAAAATTTTGTTGTCCTAAGAGCAAGTGCTTTTTGTTGTATCTAACTATTAAATAGTCTTACATCGTACTGATCCTATCCCTAATACAACGACTGATCCTAATCCAAAACTGTTCCTAATTTAATTGCGATTTCCTTGCTTGAAGATCCTTTGCATAACTTTCACGGCTTACTCGGTGCTTGATTCCATATCCTAAAAGAAAATCGTGCGCTACCTATTTTGAACTTTTTTAAAGTGTTGGAAAGAGCTTTATAACCAAAGAAAAAAAAAGTTTAACTGGAAAGAATTTTCTTGTAAAAAAAAAAAAAAAAAAAAAAAAAAAAATTCCCGAGTCAAATGATAAACAAATCACGTAAATTAGAATATATTCACGTAAGATAAAATCAAGGTTTTATTATAAACAATAAGATAAAAAATTAACTCAATTATTGGCGAAAAAAGTTCAATTATTTTTGAGCTATTCATGCTTTATAATCAGTTTACGTTTATTTCAACTCAATAAAATCTCACTAAAATATAAGATTTGACTTTGCCATTTATCACACTCCTTAAATTTAATTACGCTAAGGAATCTCAATTTATCACATAATGCGACGATCATTTATTAAAAATGCCGTTTTCAATTTATTTTTAACTCGGATCGGAATATCGTATCATATATATTTTATACATAAATTTATATTATTATAAAGCAACGAGATATCAATTTTTATCGAAATTGAATCATTATTGTGAGACTTTTATTAGAAGTAATGTTTTTGCATTACATATACTTAACCTTTTAGTTTCGACTAAAAATCCTGCATAATATGCGCTAAAATTTTACACATATATTCATACTATCTTTGTGTATTAGACACTTTTTTATAATTAATTTTACATATATATTTTATTTAATATTAATTTATTTTACTAAAATTAATTTTTTTTGTTAATTTATAAATAATTGAATGTAAATAGCATATAGATAAAATTTGCTTTCAAGCGAATTAAGCTGGTTTCGTTTCACCATACTTCCTAAAAGATAAAATTACAGCGTTCCCGAATAGGGATGGTAACGGTCGGTCGTGGTCGGTCAACGGTCGGTCAACAGTCGGTCAAAGGCCTTTGACCGACCGACCGGTTACAGCTAATTTCATAAGTTACGGGACAGCCGAGAATATCCGATACTTCCACATTTATATATGGGTAAAAAATAATATGTCGCTATATTCGGAACACTGATCTGAACATAGCGATTATGTTTTTACTTCAAAAAATTCTATACCGAGTTTTTACAAAGAGTTTTTTTTTATCGATCTGCAAAATGATCGTCCGTCCCGTGACTTTTGAAATTTGACCGATTTTAACTGACCGGTTGACCGACCGGTTACAGTAAAAAAGTCAACTTTATAGATGATCGGCATATGTATGCGAATAATATACAAAATTTCAGCCTTAACGTTAAAGTTAAAAATTGTGTTACATTTTTTTACACCATTTCACACGTATTATTTTATATAATCTAAATTGCCATTAATTCGTAAACAAAATAAATAATAATAATATTATATATGATATACAAAAGGAGATATAAGCATCTATGCTGGCCCTGAGACATAATTCAACAATTCACTCTACCGCGACTCCTAATGTATAAACTTTTGGAGCCGAACCAACTGAAATAGGAACCTGAAAAACGCAAGATCTGGAAATTCTTCACTCGCTGCATCCTGAAGCAATCGAACCTGAAATTAAAAAAATTCAAATAAAAATATTGCTGATCATTTATTTTTATGAAATATGCAATGCAGCCATGCAAATTTATTGTAATGTATCTTTTTTTTTAATGGTAATACGTTAAACTTAAAAACCAATTTGGCAAAACTTCTATATTTATACTTAAACAGATCTATTTATATAAAAGAATAATTAAACTATCTGATTGTATTGTCTATGTACTTTTCTAAATTTATTTCTCCCGTTTTGGTCACCATTTGAACGAAAGTCATTAAATATTAAATGTAAAGTTAAATAAATTCAAATTCTTAAAAAAAATAATGAACCTCTTTAATATTTTGTATATACTTTTATCAATTATTTCATTTGTGATATTTCCAATAAATTCAAAAAATATTTTTACATATAATGAAACTGAGAACGCCAGTGACAGTACACCCATTATATATAATATAGTTAGTTATTATGATAATACGATAGTCGTTCATATCATTCGTCCAGATATTTTTGAAGATGGTAAATACTTGTCACTGCGAACGATTTATCCTAATGGAAAAGTTGTACCTGTTGATCTTAAATTGGATATACCAGATTTTAACTTCCAATTTTTGAACGTCAATGGAAGATTTGCGAGTAGAATTGAAATATTTCCTATAAGAAGACCTTTTTTGTTAATAACTTATGCGGAAGCCCCAGACATAAATCCATTTACTTATAATGAACGGGCAATAGTTGTTGATTTAAACGGATATATATACAGGTTAGAAAAGTTCAAAATTTGTATTTAAGTAAATAATTAAGTATATCAACGTGTAAACCAATAAATATTATTTTGCTTTTTTTACAGCAACATTTCACTTGGACCTGCATATGTTAATGTTACCGCTAATCAATGGCTAAGCAGAAGTATTTTTGTGAATTTTAATCCTGAAAATGGTTTTCTCCGTTTGGCACAAAAAAATATTACTAATGAATATACCTGGCAACAATACAAAGTGTAACTAATTAATCTTTTAATAAAATTTAAATTTAATTTTATAATATAAATTTAATTAATCACTTATTTTTTTTAATAAAGCAATAAAAAGGGAAAAATTCAATTACTAGCGCAAGATACATTACGATTTACAAACTTTATTAACCTGATAATTACAGCCGTTCCAATGGTGGACGGAAGATATACGATAGTTTATGCCAATTCTACAGGTTCTACAAACTTAATCCTAAATCCTTTTATTTCACGAGGAGGAATCTATGCCATAATTTTAGAATTTGGATATGTTACTAAACGAAAACCTGTTATTCTTTATCAGGTTTCAATGCTAGGCATTGAGTTTACTGATATTCATTGCGAAATTGCAAATGTTGAAGTTGGACAAACTTGTATAGTAACAGCTGAAGATAAAAGTCGATACAATTTAGACATTTTTTATCTAAAGGTTGATTTTCTTTCTTCGGGAGCTATATATAATATTAAGCCATTTAATATAACACCAGGAATTTTTCAATATAATATTCAATCATTACAATATGGAGGTTATTTTTTAAGTGGAACACGTAATGTTAATGGTCAAAATGTGGTTGTTTGTTATATTTTTGATGACAATGAAAAATATTATGACGTGAAAGACTGTCTAGGCATCTCGACAATCTTAAATAATAATACTTATGTACTTGCTCAAAATGGAAGTAAGCAAACTTGGAATTTGATCACTACTGATTTGCAAAAGATTGAGAAGGAACGAGGTAATGTAACAGGCCAGGCGCTAAATAAAAAATAAAAGTTATTTTAAATTAAAAATTTAACCTTATTAATTACGCATTTTAAAATTATTATAGATCATGGATATAATAATTTACATATCAAAACCACAACTCCAAAGATTAATGATACTATCCCGTTTAATTTAACATTCCTTACAATTCAGTATTATGACGAAGTTGTTTTATCAACTGGTAGCATTGCAATTTATCAAGATGATGGGAATTTACGTCAAATCATTGCTGGTGTGAACAATGAATTCGTTAATTATGGTGATAATAATAATACCATTATAATTCATATAATCAAAAGCACATTCAATCAACCTGGCAGAAGATATTATGTTGTAGTTGGAGATAATTTCGTAAAGAACAGTGCTAACCAAGAGCCTCTCTATGGCGTAAAAGAAAGAGTTTGGTCTTTTACAACAGGTATACGCTGTATAAATTTCATTAATTTTAAGTGATATCGAAATTATTTATTTATATACTGTATATTATCATTCAAATAGACCTTGAACCAGAAAAAAGCTCTGGTAACGTCATGGGACGGGTTAGATTGACTCCAGAGGGGACGCAACATTTTTATAAGCTTAGCGTAATCGAACGCAATGTTTTTTATACGAATATAACACGAGAATTGGCTGATGTAATTCCTGTCAGTTTAAATCGTATAACAACTAATAAAAGGACTGAAATTGACAGTTCTGTTTCTTCAAAACAAATCTTTTTATCAATTAATATTCAAGATGATGAAAATAAACGAGAAAGATCAGCAAGATTAGCAATGATTGATTTAAATACTTTGATTAGTTATAAGCCTATCACTGCCATTACTTTTGGAGAATCTTCAAGATTTTTAGATGAAGATTATGGATATAAGCGTCATCGTAATTATCTTATGGGTGTTTTTTTTTTTACATATAATGTATTTTTAAATAGCTAAATATATTATTTGAAATGTTAAATTAGCACATCTATGGAATTCCAACGTTCTACCTCTCATTGTATTATTAGTATGCGTGTGCACACTACTGATCTTACTTTATTTATGGGCTAAACGCATGAATAGTGAGGTATATATCATGACCATCATAGTTGAGGGGTAAACTTATTTTGACAAAATAGTATCGATACCTAATGAAGCGAAATAAGTCAAATACTAAAATATATTTTTTTTATTTAGGCAAAGAATATTAAAATTTTACAATTTGGTCTTATTATTTTTAACATCGTTATTGATACTCTTTTATTAACACGAGATCAATGAACGTTGATGGATTATTTATCCCAAGGTAAAATAAAAAATTAAATCACTCTCTATATAAACTTCTTTAAATATTATATATTTACAAAAATAATACACTCCTTTAAGTTTTTCAATTCTAGTAGTTTCATTTATTGTACGTTTAGTATGGGCATTTGTAATTATAAGGCAAGAAAATGAAGTAAATGAATTTTCAGAATGGTCAAGAAATCATACACAAATGATATCATTATTCACCTTATTAGCAGGAGCTGATGTTGAAGTTTTAACTTTACTTGAATCAAAAATTGCAGGATATGAAATTTTTCATGCTATATTTTCTGAAACTGCATTAAGTAAAATATTTTGGGGAACTTACATCAATATATTTGTTGAAGAAATTCCTCAAGTAATTATCCAGGTATGTATACATATTTTTTTCTTTAACTATTTATTAATTTTAAACTATTTTTTTGTAAATCTAATAACAAAATTATATTTATTAATCAAGATAATATACATTAATAATGCCATTTTTTATGACATTATACCTATATTAACACTTTTATTATCATGCATAAATTTAATAATTTGTATTATTAGAATAATTGGAAGATTATATAATTTTTACAAACCAAAAGATCATAAATATGAAGAAATATTTACAGGAAATTCTAATTATGATTATAGTAATATAATTGATAAAGATGATGAAAATATTGGTAGATTAATTGATGAATGTATTTTTTAAAATTATATTGTTATAAAAATTTTTTAAAAGAATTTTCTGATTTATATATTTTAATAATTATATAATTTGTTTTAAATTGTATTATATATTATATTATGTAAATATCACAAAAATAAATGTAATATAAACTTGAATTGATACTATTTTAAGAAAGTTATATATATAAACTATAATAATAATTCATATATTTAAATGTATTTTATTATTAGATTTAAAAATAATTAATATATCTTATTAAATGATTAAATCATTCATGATTTTATTATTTTTAAAGATTAATTTTACAAGATTCTTCTTTTATATAAACTTTGTATAACTATTTAATCAATCATATTATAAATTCTTTTTAAATTTTTATATAAATTTTATTTTATTCTTTTTAATAATATTTAAAGATCAATAAGTATTATAAAATACTTAAAGTTTTTTAATTTTATTTTACTAAATTTGAATATATACTAATATTAAATGATTTAATTATAAAAATTGAAATAGATATTTAATCAATTTTAAAAAAATACTCTAACATTTTTATATAATAGAAACTTCACTAAATCATTATTAATTCTATGTTTGATACAATATTAGAAAACCTTTAGATAATTTTATAAAATAAAATTTTAGCTAAAGCAAATTTAATTTTAACAAAGCTTTTTCAGATTCACTTTTATCAAAACATAAATTTATCTTTATAAAAAGTTTTAAGTAATTCAGACTTAAAGTGAAAAATTATTATTATATTAAATTTATCAAATTAATAATAAAATTTAAAAAGATTTGAATTGATTATTTTATTAATAATTGTAATATTAAGGTAATAAATTGTCAATTCTAATATTATTTTTAATATTTTTATTTACCTTATATATTTGATAATTTTAAAGAAATGTAAAAATTTTATAATAAATATATATTATTTACTTTTATATATTAATTAAAAAAATTAGATAATTTAAATCTGTAATAATTTAAATGTATTAATATTTTAAATATAAAGATTACTTAAGTTATACATATCTTAAATGCTAATTTATCTTAAATGAAAATTTTAATAATATTTTAAATATTCACTTCAGATTATCTTAATAACTAATTAATATATTCTTATTGTAATTTAAATATGTTAATATTTGAAATATGTATTTAAAATATTCAAAATATAAGATAATTTAAAATATATATTTATTCTAAATATGTTGTGACAGGTGAAATTTTAGATATATTTAATTAGTAAACTAGAAAGGCAATTTTATTGTCATGTAGATCTTTAAGAAGATCATTTTTATCCATTTTATTATTATTGATCATTATGTAATTCCTAAATAATTTTATTATCCTTGATAATTATGTATATCATAGATATCCATTTAGTTACCTGCAGATCTAGCAATTTTATTGACACAGCAATTTTATTTCCTTTGATATATTTAGTTTAATTCATTTTATTAATTATTTAACATATATAAATATTTCTGTATTTTCTTTAAGTTTTTAATACCAATGAGATGTTAATCTTTTAGGCACTGAACTTATATATTATATTAATAAAGGAGTATAATTAATCTAATATAAAATTTATTCTTCATAAACCCTTTGAAACTGTTATTATTTATGGTCCTTTATATTTATTTACAATCCTTATAGTTATTGTTTGCAAATTTATTGTATGATATTATATTAAAGCTTTGAATAGTTCAGATTAATCTGAAAATTTTCAGTTCAGATCAACTTTGATTCAGTTTCAGATTGCAAAAAATTCAATCTAAAAATTTTCGGTTCAGTTCAGATTTTTTTCAGATTATAAATCTAATCTGAACTGAAAAAAATCCAAACCAAACTGAAAATTTCAGATTAATCTGAAATTTTAGATCATTTGGAATGATTAAAGTTATCGTTCTAAATAAATGATAAAGAATCATTCAATTAAAACAATTAAATTATCATTTCAAAAGAATAATAAAAGAATTGTTCAATTGGAATGATTGAAGTTATCATTTTAAATAAATAATAAAAGAATTGTTCGATTAAAACAATTAAATTATTGTTTCAAAAGAACGATAAAAGAATCATTTAATTAGAATGATTAAAATTATCATTTTAAATAAATAATAAGAAAATCATTTGATTAGAATGATAATTTAATCATTCTTTTAGAATGATAACTTTAATTATTTCAAACGAACAATAAGAAAATTGTTCAATTGGAATGATTAAATTATCATTTCAAATGAATGATAAAAGAATCATTCAATTGAAATAATAAAATTATCATTTCAAACAAATGATAAAAGAATCATTTAATTGAAATGATCAAATTATTATTTCAAATGAATGATAAGAAAATCATTTGATTAGAATAATGAAATTATCATTCAAACAAATGATAAAAGAATCGTTCAATTGAAATGATTAAATTATTATTCTAAACGAACAATAAAAGAATCATTGATTGGAATGATGAAATTATTATTCCAAACGAATAATAAAAGAATTGTTTGATTGAAACGATCAAATTATCATTTTAAATGAACAATAAAAGAATCATTTGATTGGAATGATTAAATTATTGTTCTAAATGAATGATAAAAAATCGTTTAATTGAAATGATCAAATTATTGTTTCAAATGAATAATAAAAGAATCATTTGATTAGAACGATCAAATTATCATTTCAGATAAATGATAAGAAAATCATTTGATTGGAATGATCAAATTATTGTTCTAAAATTTCAGATTAATCCAAAATTTTCAGTTCAATTCAGATTTTTACTAGTTTATAGTTCAGTTTAGTTTCAGATTAGCATTTTTAAGATTTATAATCTGAACTAAACTGAACTAAAATTTTCAGTTCAGTTTTAGATTGGCCTATAATCCAGACCAAACTGAATCGTTTAGAGTATTAATATTAAATTAATATAATATTTAAAATAAATCAGAAATAATTTATTAAAATAATTTATTATATAATATAAATAAAATTGTTCTTATAAATAATTTTATTTCAACAAATTTTTCAAATATTTAATATTATTTTAGCAAAAAAATAAGATATTAATTTTTACTTAGAAAGTTATAATTATATAATATTAGTTTATTATATTTTAAGTTAATTTATATCTATGAATTATCAAATTTTAATTTGACAAAATGTAAAAGAATATTTAGCTATTAGTCTAATTAATAGAAAATACTATAAATTAAATATTTTAACATAAATTTTATGATTTAAAATACAAAATATTAGTTATATTTCCTTTTAAGTTTATTTTATTTTGATATAATTTAGCTGATTATTAATATATTTTAAAGATGGCATTGCAATTAATTGCAACTATATAATGCTTATTTATCACTAGTTACAACTAGTTGTAATTTAATTTTTATTAATCTTATAACTAATTACAACTTTATGATGCTTATTTATCACTGATTATAATTAGTTACAGTATTATTTTTAATATATTTTAATTGAATATCAAATGATTATAAATAAAAAAGATTAAACTTTAATTAATTTTGGCCAATTTTTGATATATGCTAATTGGCTAAGCTAATTTTGATGATTTGCAAATTTTAGATCAATTTATAGCATGTCAGCAATTTTTTGATATGAATCACCTCGATTGTGGCTATAAAGAATTGCCCTATATTGTTTAGCATTCAATTCTTTTGTTTTAACCATTTTTGTTCGAAAGAAAATTATTTGTTATTATTGTAATCGACATCCATTTATATTCTAAACAAATGCTTAAATTAGAAATATATGTAAACATGTAAACAAAGCGAATAAACAA